ACATGAAATTTTTTTAAAGACATAGAGTAAAAGCAGCTCGTGTGCGTGGCTGATCATGATAATGTTGTTTCATTCTGTGTTGAGGTGGCAAAGATACATTTTCAGGCACTACTTCTTTGCAACCAGAGTCTGGAGCGCTCAACAAGGTTCATAATGGAGAAAACTGATTCCAAATTGGAGGCTCTAACCACTGGTGTCCTCTGAAGTTATAATATCGAGTCCTAGGGTACCTACTGTTGCACAAAAGTTTCATCTTAAGCATACGTGTGCCGTGCCAATATGATAGTGGGCACAAGTGGACCACAAGCCCACAATGACTTTGCAGCTTCCTCTCTGTGTATTAGGTAAACAGTATTCTGCCCTCTGGCTTATTTAATCCTAGCATGGGCAATAATTTTATTCCATAGTAAAGGAGATTCCTGTGCTTAACAAAAAGTAGTTAAGTAAGTGAATGAAAGAAATATCCCAGTTTAAATATAGTTATCCTAAACACGTAGGGATGTATCTGTAAATTTAGTTCTAAGAAATTACAACCACTTACTCATTGCCAACTGACCGGCAATGCTAAAGGAAACAGTCTTTTAAACAGCCTTTTGAAAAGGCTAGGAGAAAAACTTGCACTGAAAGAGTTTAAAAGTTCAGGCAGTTTTAAACACCAAAAACTTGGTTCTGTTACAATGTAGGGTCAGGCTGTCTGGATACGATGTTTGCTTTCTCTTCTGGTAGCAGCATTTAAAGCAACTCTGCTCTGCACGCATCCCATGATGTGCCCAGTGGTTCCCAGATGCAGTGGCTTAAAATGCCTGTTCACAGGCTCAAGGAAGGCGCCCTGCCAGCCTCGTCAGAGTCCCTGCTGATGCTGGCAAAAGCACTCTCCCCAAAGAGCATCAGAGGAGAAATGGCCGCCACTGTTAGAGCTATTGTTATCTTCTGATAACATCTGTGTTGTTGGCAGGGCCAAGGAGGGGAGTATGTAGGAAGCTGATCCAAGAACAGAGAGAAAGAGAAAATAACAATTTCCACAGCACTGAAGCAATTAGATGAAAACGTCCTGAAAACTAGTGGCTCTTCCGACTCCTCTGTGTGTGTGTGTGTGTGTGTGTAGCAGTGAAGTGCTGGAAGACCACTCCTCCTGGGAGACGCTTCCAGCCCCTAGGGCTACACTATCACCTATTCAAAGGGCATTTCCCCTTTGAGAGAGGGAGGCCCACAACTTTTCTCTCATCTAAAACACGGATCCTGAATTAGAGGGACAGTTTGAAAGCCAATGCTTTAGAAAATTAATGAATGAGACATTATATGTAGATGTTTTAAAAAGTTCCCTGCCGTTTGTTTGTTTTGATAATTTTCACTGAGGAATGTAAGCATTTTTTGGTTGAATAAATATAGTTAGGTCCAATTTCTGAAACATAAGGTAATTTAAAAATATAATAGATTAGTAATGGAATCAATATCACTGTTACTTTTTACTTAGAATACACCATCTATTTGAACACTAATATGTACAATTTTTTCAGATTTTAACAAAGTATGTATTTTAATTCTTTGGCATTTAAAGGAATGTGTTTTCCTGTGGCAAGAACTCATTGTCAGAATTATTGGCCAATACTAAAAACAATGAAACATGCCACTTCTTGGCAAGGTGACATACAAAGTTGCTTCCTGCCTCCCACAGCCCTGCAAAAAAGAAACTGATGGACAATAACTCTGCTCAGGCTCCTATACTCTCTCTTCCTCTCCCCTCTCCCCCCTACATCTCATAAAGGCTCTTTATTGACTGTGCAGTGTTATACACATAGGAAATGTATCCTTGTGTACCCAGGGTATTTTTTTCCGTTTGTTTTCTCTTCCAGCATTTGATTACTGGCTGGTGAACTGTTTGGGCCCACAGAGATCTCTAGACCACCAGCTCATGTATTTGAAAGGCATCTGTTTATTTTGAAAATGCAAATGTGGCCTACCTCAAAGACTGACAGGCAAGAAATGACCCACTGAGTGGGGGAAGAGGTTTCCAGTCTGGAGCCCTGTCCCTCCCTCGATCACACCAAGACCACTGGCTGTCAGAACCACTTAAACCTGCTCCTGGAATCTGAGTGAAGGGCCCACGATTACAAATGAGCAGGCCTATCTCTCAATAATTAGCCAGGCAGATCGTTTCTCACTCAGTTTAAAGTAATGATGAGGACATTTACCAAGGACTCTGAGCCTTTGAAATGGTGGCTCCTAGACTGAGGGCTGCCTGGAGGAGGGCCTGATAACAAGGACACAGAGCTCCTAATGGTGGCCGCCCAGTCTTCACGAGGAGAAAGCCTGGGAAGGTTAATTCCCTGACTTTGATCTCTGTCAAGGCATACCAGCAAGAATTAATTTACATTTCAGATGAAAAAGGTTGACAGCATGAAAAGGCATCTTGTTTCTGGTATGTGAATGTGCCGTAATAGATCGGGAATTCTGAAAGGAAGTTCTGAGGAAGCTAAAGGGATAAGCCGCATGGCTGCTTTTATTGGGAAGGAGATGAAAGGAAAACAAATTTCAATATGCGCTGCTGTGTAGCAACATGTAGGCCAAATGCTTCCTAAATTTCAAGGGCTGCTCTTTTAAAAATATATAACATATCTTAGCAATCTTAGCAACACCACTTAAGAAAATACTATGGGCCAGAACTAGAAATAAAAATGCATTCCACAGATTCTAAATTTCTAATGAAATGATTTGAAAAAAATAATAAATTAGAGAATAACCTTAGAAAACAACCGGAAATGGTTGTGCTATGATAACATCCCTAAGCCACTTCCTGCAGGCTCCCAAAGTGGGGAGCTGCTGTATCTGGGTCTCGTTCTACTCGGAAATGTCCTAGTGGGACGAAGAGAGGCTTGTAATGAGATTATGTTTGGGGAAGATCACAACCCCAAACAGAAAAGTCAAAATGAGTTGCTTTGCTTCTTAGATAAATGCAATTATGCCTTCAAATGTAAAGATAGGGAAAATATTCCCAAGTAAAAGTAAACTGCCCATAAAATTGCAAACATTGCTACCCTATCATGCACCTTTAGCACCAACACAAAACCAGCATACTAATTCCTGTCCGTGGTGTTGGCCGAAGGGCAGATGCTGTCTGCCTTTGCTCTGGCTGCCACACCACTTCTTAGAGGGTAGAGGTGGTGTTGGTGCCGCCTTCATGCCCATCTAATCCCCTGCAGACTCAGTTAATGGAAGTTCTCAACATCACTTGATAGGCAAGAACACTTTGGCTGCAAGGCTAAGAAAGGGGAGGTGCTCACAAGGCTTAAAAAAAAAGGAGGCGCCCTTAAAGAAATGTGTTCTCTAAAGTTTCGCTGGGTGCTTGCAAGGCTAAAAAACAAAAAAAGAGAGAGATGCCCTTAAAGAAGTATGTTTTTTATAGTTCCGCTGAGCAACATTATCCTTCCATGGTAGCTACCCCATAGGTGCTCCCCTGAAAAGATACAATTATTACTATCCTGATAGTATGATGATGAAGCAGACCCAGTTCTGTTTTAAAGCAGCATTCACTTGGCATGAACAGAGTGCAAAACAGGGAGCACTCTAAAGACGATTTTCACTTAGGGAAAATGGATTTATGATTCCTAATACTGAACTCAGTGGATCAACAATAAATACGCTCAAGAAAGTTTAAATTTTAAAACGCATGTTGGGCTTTGTACCAAACTGCAAGATCAGAAATCAGTTCGGTACCTTCGTTTAATGAGAGATTCTGTGTGTGTGTGTGTGTGTGTGTGTGTGTGTGTGTGTGTGTGTGTGCTGGGAAGCAGGCAAGTAGGGAACAAATGATGTGCTTTGAGTTCTCTCTTAAGCTGTAACAAGAATTGCATCCCTCTTCCTGAGGCTTTGAAGTTGTAGAGCTTAGAATTCCTAGGGGATGGTGTTAAAAGTTAACATTTGCATTTTAATAGCACCCTTTCCACCCAACTATTTTAGTTTTGAATGAAGACATCAGGCTTCTACAGTGGTCTAAGAGTTCTGAGAAGTTTACTTGGAGCCAGGTTCTGGGCAGGGACCTCTTTGAAAAGGTTGCAGCTGTTTTATTTAAGAGTTTACTTCAAGCTCAGCTGTATGTGAAATCCTATCTCTCTCTCTCTTGCTGAGTCTACCAGCCTGGCTCTTTCTCTCATTCTGTCTCCAATTTCTTGTGGCTCCTGGAGCTCAGGGGACTGTTTCTCCAGAGCCTCGATTAGGAATATGCAGTTTCAAATGAGAGAGGGAGCCCAGGCTGGCAACCACAGTGGACACTGCCATTTGCAGAAGAGCAGAGTGACTGAAGAGCCAGAGAGGGGACGGATGAGTCAGAAACCAGAGCTTACACTTCTCAGGCTGCCAAGGGCAAGCTGAGCCACAGAAGCCACCACGTGCTCATGCCATGGGGCCCAGAGGACCATGATAGCTGCACATAGGCCAGGATTTGGGAAACTCAGTGTGCTGGGAAACTCCCTGAGTGATTCCTCCTCAGTGATGCTGAGAGACAGGTCTTGCATATAATTAGAGAATTCCAAAATGGGAAGGCACCTTCTGGACCTTTTTAACCAGCGCTCTCATTTAACAGATGAGGGACATGTGACTCCAAGAGGGAAAGGGTTTTGTTCAGGTGGCAGCATGCGATGCTGCCTCTATCCAAACGGCCTGTGTTCAAATGCTGGCTCGGCAACTGATGAGCTGTGTGAGGGTGGACAAGTCCCTTCACTTCTCAGTGCCTCAACTTCCTCCTCTATAATATCAGGTATACAAGAGAACCCAGTCAGAGCATCCTTAGCCAAGTATGGCAAACAGCAAATGCTCATGCTCACTGTTAGCATCAAAGTTATCACACAAGGAGGGTCGGAACAAACACTAGGACTCCTGTCTCCCAGAACTCCTGACTCATTCCAGTGCTCCTGAATTATTAGCCATTCAGCTTTTCTACACTTGTAGGAAGTTAGTCACAGAATATTTTCAAGTGGACACTGTGAAAATGATGTTTTAATTACCTGCTTGATTATGAGCAGCAGACTCACTCCTTCTGTTGCTTATTTTCTTAAATTTCCTCCGAGCATCATATCCTCTCCAGGCTAAAAATATAAAACCATGTGCTAGGAATGACATTAATTTAAGAACGTGCCAGAGAATTGATATAAGCTGTTTTCCCCTCCAATCTATTGCCCGTCTCATCCTCCCTCCTGCTTTCTCACTGAACAAAATAAGAAGAGGTACGTGAGCTATGGCCAGAAGAGAGGCCTCTCTGTTCTCACAGCTTGGCTTTGAAGATGCTTCTGAGGGGTTGCTTTTGTTCAGGCAGTGATTTCCAGAACACTCTGGGTTCCATTGATGAATCACGTGGGACCCCTACCCCAGGTGAGATGGTTTCCTGTCATTCTAATCCCTGGAGAAAGCCCTGTCTTCAAGACTTGGGGATATGATACAGGGGGAGGGATTTGGGAGGGATGGTAGAAAGGAACTGGAATAGCCTGACCCTTTCAAAATCTGTTATTTGGGAGAAAAATATAGACATGAAAGTTGAAGAAGAGAAAGAGGGGAGTCGAGGGAAATAATAAGTAGCACAATATTGTCATTTGCTGTGAGTGAATTCTGTGCCGAGAGGTATGCTGAGGGAGAGGAAGATGTGCAGTGGGAAGGGAAAAGGCAGGGAAGAAAGGTGAAGAAAAAGAGAGAAAAGAGGAAGGGACTCTCTGGGGCAAATGTGGTAAGTCCTTTAGATACAAAACTGGGGCATTAAGCCACCCAGAGGAGCATTACGTCTCTCTTTGTTCCTTCCATCTCTGAGCATCACAACTCTCCAAGTTGCTGGGTGAGCTCATGAAGTCCAAAATCGACTGAGGCACATTAGGATTCTGGGTTATGAAATCATAAGGGAAATCATCCAGTTTGTTCAAGATCTGGTGCTTTCATAATCATTTGTCTACTGCACAGGAACTTAAATGTTGTGTGTAATACTAATGACACATATATGTAAACAAAGAGTTACTGACTAGGCAGGGCACATGAAAGAGATTAGCAACCTGTCCCCTTGGTTTATAAGTTCCATCTGGACTAGAAGAGCCTTCTGGAAATGGCATTAGTAACACTGGTACTGAACACCTCACCACAGACCTGAAGTGTATATTATCTCAGTCTTTCTGGGAGATGCGGTACATATCTGTGTGACTGGGGCTTTACATCATTGGTCCATTTATACTGCCACTATCTATCCTGCCATTTATGTTGTAAAGACATGTTTGCTTACCTGCAAGTCAGGGACCATGGCAGTTTTTGGGGCACAGATAATAATTCCCCAAAATATGCTGTTTGAGCTCCAAACTTAGAGCACCTGGGTAGCAGCAAATGCAGGGAAGGGCTTCCTCTGAACTCTCCCTATCTGTTGAAGGCTAGCTCCTCCAGAAGATTTTCAACTGTGTGAATCCCTTCCCCAGATCGCTCATCAACCAGGGGAAATTGATGCATACCCCAGGAAGGAAAACTGGAGTAAATATCACCCAGAGGTCAGATGAAGTTTGTTCCAGGCTATTGTCTGTTCTTTAGGCCCATTCATTTCCCCCGAAAATCTTTTAATCTCCCCTTAAAATTATCTACATCCTCCACTTCACTCTCCCCTATACAGAGGGTATTTAAGCTTCAACCCTCTGGCCTTTGAGTTTCATACTTTTTATGACTTGCATGTTAATAAATTTGTATGTCTTTTCTCCTGTTAATCTGTCTTCATCAGTTTGTTTTATAGACTCAAATTATCAAACCTTCAGGACACAAAGTTTCTACGCAGTCTTGCTCATGGCTGTGATTTCAGCACCTAGCACAGAACCTGTGCAGTAGGCACTTGATACACTTTTTTTTTTTTTTTTTTTTTTTTGAGACAGAGTCTTGCTCTGTCGCCCAGGCTGGAGCACAGTAGCACAATCTCGACTCACTGCAAGCTCCACCTCCTGAGTTCACGCAATTCTCCTGCCTCAGCCTCCTGAGTAGCTGGGACTACAGGCGCCTGCCACCATGCCCGGCTAATTTTTTATATATTTAGTAGAGATGGGGTTTCACCATGTTAGCCAGGATGGTCTCGATCTCCTGACCTCGTGATCTGCCCGCCTTGGCCTCCCAAAAGTGCAGCAATTATAGGCGTGAGCCACCACGCCCAGCCTGCACTTGATATACATTTGTGGAAGGAAAGAAGGAAAGAAGGAAGGAAGGAAGGAAGGAAGGGAGGAAGGGAAGAAGCAAGGAAGGGAGGAAAGGAGGGAGGGAGGGAGGGAGGGAGGGAGGGAGGGAAACCAGTTAGAAAAGAAATAGTTGAGTATTCCCCAGTACTTAATGACATGCCAATACCCAGAGCCAGAGCAGTATTTATGAGACCTGGACCATTTACCTGACTGGATGGCAATGGCTCCCTTCTCTCTCTTCTCTCTGACTCTTTTGTATCTCCTGGCTCCAAGCCACCCCTTGGTATATGCCTGTAGCACAACCACTCTGCCTATGACTTCTCGAAGTAGCAAATTTAACTGCTCAACATGGTAATATTTGAGAAAAACCTGAAACGAGACATTATTTTTGACATTATATTTGGGTTCCTCAACAGAAATTCACTCTACTACAGCATATTCTAAACGAAAATATTAAAACAATGATATAAATAAAGTTTATAGTGATGTGACTTATGCTCACATTACTGACTTCATGGGGGTAAATACAATTCTCCTTCTAAGATTGAGCCAATCCTTGATAATTGATGTAAACAGATGATGAGGTCAACAGGGTTTTAGCGATTCCAAACACTCTCCAGGCCTGTCTCATGTCAGTCAGGAGTTCCATTTTCTCAGTATGAGCTCTATCTACTCTCTTTCCCCATAGCCTCTGATAAAGGTGCTGACCAAGAGGAATGACCCAGCCAACAGTGGAAGTTCAGGGGGTGAGGTACCTGGATGATCCACAGTGATCTAATTTCTGCTGAGTACGAGCAGTGTTGCCATCGACAATGAGGCTGAGGCTGGTTTTTTAAGGCAATCAGGATGGACCATAAAAACCTGGGATCCTATGGGGACGTGGTGTTCTCCCAAATGAAAGCTACAGATGCTGAGACTAATAATCAGGCTATGTAGCAAACAACATGAGTCCAGTGAAAAAATGGACAAAACTCTACCAGAAACTCATCACTGCCATTGATATGATTTGTGTATTTACATGTGGTATTCAAATAAGCAGCACTGAGAAAAGAAACATTTTAAAATGAGCTCAAAGATTTCATTCTAGAAATGTTAAATGGCTCTCAAATTACATACAGAACAGGAGGCAAACCCTCCTCCTCTACTCCCTAAGGTCCCCAACCTCTTGACATAAGACCAGCAAAGATCATTGTTAGGCTGGGGTCTTGTTTGCTAAGCTACACAACTTACAGAGCCATTCATGCCAGTGACATCACGGACAAGAGACAAAGAAATCACACGGGACAATTTGAACAATAAAGAACAAACTACCTTTGTTTTTCCCAGCACCCAGTGATCTAATCTGCACTTTTCCAAGATAGCCACACAGCTCTCTTTGCTAGCAAGAGGTGTTTGATGTGCTCTGAATGCCAAGTAATAATACCTGCAAAATAAAAGAGTTTAGTGAAGCATTTTCAGTCATCATTTGAGTCAGCATAGTAGAATTACTCGGGACCATTGACACACCTTGTTTTTTAATAGTAAATATTTGTTGAGCACCAATAATAGCATAGTAGGTAGTAAAAGACACAAAATTTATATTTATTAACTTGGCTCTTACCTACTTTCATATGTTCTGCAATGTGTATTTATTTCCCTTTTGATGTTGCTTTGTAATTCATATTCAGTGTATACTTGGTGTCTAATGCATGCAAAATCAAAATATCTAATCCTTTTAGAAAGCTGAAATGTAGACAACTCCTCTAGTGAAAGTAGTACTCCTATATATTAGTATCACTATTATAAAAAAGAAATTCCATTGTATATATTTTGACTCTGCTTTGCAAAGTCCCATCGAAAGCAATTTGTAGATAGCAGAAGTGATCACAGCCTAACACTAATGATTCTGCGGAGGGATTCATCTTACTCAACGTATAGAGGAGGTGTGTTTTCTTGATACAATCATGAAAACCACATTTGTTTTCTTAAATTACTTCATTTTACTGAACTTCCAAACTTTCAGATGAAAGAATTTCAAAGAAAAACATTGTAAGCATGGAAAAGTATCCTTTTTTTTTTTTTTTTTTTTGAGGCAGAGTTTTGCTCTTGTTGCCAAGGCTGGAGTGCAATGGCACCATCTCGGCTCACTGCAACCTCTGCCTCCTGGGTTCAAGCGATTCTCCTGCCTCAGCCTCCCAAGTAGCTGGGACTACAGGCGTGCACCACCACATCCAGCTAATTTTATATTTTTAGTAGAGATGGTGTTTCACCATGTTGGTCAGGCTTGTCTTGAACTCCTGACCTCAGGTGATCCACCCGCCTCGGCCTCCCAAAATTCTGGGATTACAGGTGGGAGCCACCTTGCCTAGCCAGGAAAAATATATTTTCCTCACCCATCCAAGTTCACAGCTGAGGCCCCTAGAACAAGACACGGATTAACAAGAGAAATACATACAAATTCATTTAATGTCAGTTTTAAGTGACACAGGAGCCTTCATGAGGAAATGAAAACCTGAAGAAACAATTAGACTTGTGTATTTCTATGCCAGCTTTGATGAAGAAGTAGGTAATTGTGGAGAAACAGACTTGAAAAAAGAGTTTATTACCCTAATGGTAATTAACTGACGGAATTTAGCAAGACCTGTTTGTTCAGATTCTTCTCTGTGTACCTGTGTCTTCAGAGATAAGAATGTTCCTTTTCTTTGGGTATAGGAAGAGTAGCTTTCACATGCGGGTCTTATGAACTGCTTCGGGGCAGAAGGGCAGGAGAAGGTGAGAGTGACCTTACTGCCTCTGCTATTTTCTCAAATGTTACAGTGCCATATTTTGGGGTAGTGTGTCCTTAAGTCTATCGTTACCAAAAGGGCTTTTTCCTCCCCTTTCCTTTCTTCTCCTTTATTCTCCCTGTTTTTTAAAAATATAACTTGTTGAGGCACCAGGCATAGTGGCTCATTCCTATAATCCCAGTACTTTGAGAGGCCAAAGTGGGAGGATCACTTAAGCCCAGGAGTTCGAGACCAGCCTGGGCAACATGGTCAAATCCTATCTCTGCAAAAAATTTTAAAAATTAGCCAGGCATGGTGACATGTGTCTGTAGTCCCACCTACTTTGGAGGCTGAGGCAGGAGGATGGCTTAAGCCTGGAATTCGGGGCTGCAGTGAGCCATGATCATACCACTGCATGCTAGCCTGGGTGACACAAGAAGATCTTGTTTCAAAATTTAAAAACATACATATATATAAATATTTATTATATATTATATTATACATATAATATATATTATATATAACTTTTACAATATATTATCCTTTTAGAAAATCTCACCTTAGTTTTTCTTTAGAAAACTTGCAAGGAGTTTTTTCTCTGCTTTTTGCTGCCATCTATAATTAAGTTCAACCCCTTGATAACTTTGAAATAAATTTAATTTCTTTGTCAAAGGATTTTCCTACCATTCCTCAAATGAGACTAATCCGCTATTTTGAAATTACTTTTAAATATAGAGCTGTTTTTGCTTTTTAAAATAATCACCAAAATGTGAAAGATATCCTTCCCCGCTGCCAAATATATCCATATCTTCCTGTTTACGGAAGAATACGGCTACCTAATCAGTACTTGACTCATTCAACTTTATCTTCCGGCTACAAGATTATTTTTCAAGTTAGGATATAAAGCTGAATTTTCTGGAAACATTTGCATTCAGAAACCCTGGGGCTGTTTCCAAGGCTATGAAAATCTGTTTCCACCTTTGGGGAGGAGGGGCAGTGCTCTCTGAACCTGAACAGTGGCCAAGACCAGATGATGCTAGATCATTTGGCAGAACCCAGGAACCTGCTCATAGCAGATATCTTCCGGAGCTAAGTGGGAGGAGGATCAGCCAGGAGTCAAGCTTAGACCTTTCTCTGGACAGTTCATGGCATCAGCACAGATTCTTCAGCCCCAGGTTCTCCAGGACTGTAGTTTCGTTATGATTTCTCTGACTTGGCTTTGGCCACAGCAAAAAGATTGTGTCATGGAGCACACAGGGATGGTGGGAATGGTTGGCAAATCTATTGTGGTGAGAAAAGTGGGGGTAAAATCAGGATTTCCTATACTTTTAGGACCAGCCATTTACAACACGGGCTCCACTGGCTTTAAGTAGCCCAGGCTTGCTTATGGTGAATGCTCAATGTTACTGGTGATTAAGTATTTAAAGAATCTAATGAATGACCAGCACCTTGAAAGATATAAGAGGAGTGCAAGATATGTTCCAATTCACCAGTCAAAGATTTATACTTATTTTTCAGACACCTGTGGGTGTTTTTTATTTTGTTTTTTTGTTTTTTTTTTTAGCAACTGTTAGTTTCTAAATGGGCAGAATGTATCCTGAACATTAATATTAGAACTTAACTTTGGTTTTCAGTCCATCAACCAAAACATCTTAATTTATTATGATAATAATATTCATATCTAGCTTAGTTCAGAAAGAGATGGGTAACAGTACTGTATGTAAAGAGGTAGTTTTCAAAATACAGTGAAGAAACATATAAGTGACATATCTATAGTAATCAAGTAAGAAAAGCATAATTTATTTCCTTCATGGAATAATTTTTGGATCCTAGCAGGTACCACGGTGATAAATCACTTTGAGCTCCTGTGTACTTCAATGTAAAGGCTAAGCTGAAAGGGACCAAGCCAAGAGGTTCATTAGGAAGGGAGAGTTTTCTGGAGAGATTCATTTTATACCTTTCCTGAAGCAGCATGATGAGTTAATCAAGCAAAAGATATGCAACAGCAAAATAATAAATGTAACAGTCTTGAGAATCTGCACACTTGAGGGTATTGCAAAAACCAGACTTCCCTGAGCTGCCTCTTCTAAGTAGAATTGATTTTACATATTGGAGTCCGAGCACTGAGTTCAGAGTCAGAAGATCTCTGTCTCTAACTGTGGGTGAGTCACTCACCTCTCTGTACCTAACTTTCCACAGGTTGGAATAGGAACCAGATAAGTGGTTCTTAACTCTTATCTTGGGTAGGGAGAAGGACATGGGGGCTCAAGGGTCTATGAAAGTCTGGTAAAAGTTATACACATTCTATCTTGGAAAATGGTCTTAACACAACACATTGCATAAAATATCAAGAAATCCACATTATTTTTCTTTTTTCTACCTTTCTTTTTTTTTTTTTTTTCTTTTTGAGACACAGTTTCACTCTGTTGCCCAGGCTGGAGTACAGTGGTGTGATCTGGGCTTACTGCAACCTCTGCCTCCCAGGGTCAAGCAACTCTCATGCCTCAGCCTCCTGAGTAGCTGGGATTACAGGCATGCACCACCACACCTGGCTAACCTTTGTATTTTTAGCAGAGTTGGGGTTTCGCCATGTTGGCCAGGCAGGTCTTGAACTCCTGACCTCAAGTGCTGGGATTACAGGTATGAGCTACTGCACCTGGCTCCACATAACTTCTGACAGCCCTCAAGGACCAAAGAGCACTTTCTGCTGCAGAACTTTATGGAAGACATAAATTTCCCAAGGCTTCATTTTATTAAAACATATAAGCTATCAAAATAGTATATATCCAGTTGAAAAGTATCTTTATTCAAAAAATATCATTTCATTTTCTGTCTAAAATGTTTTGTTGCATGAAATGCAGGCTGTTCAAGGAAGAATTTTTAAATATAACAGGCAAAGCAGTTTGGGGAGTATTAGCAAAAGCAGCAGGCAACTAGAGATACCTTCTCCTGCATTTAAATTATGGAATCATAAACTGGAAGGATCTGGAAGATTCCAGGATATGTTTGTTTTATACTGCTGCATAACAAATTACTTCAGAATTTAATGCCTTAAAAACAGATATTTATCATCACACAGTTTCTGAGGGTCAGGAATTCAGGAGCAGCTTATTCCTGGCCCAGGGTCTCTCATGAGATTACAGTCAAGATGTCAGCCATGGCTGCAGTCATCTGAAAGCCTGACTGGCACTGGAGGATCCATTTCCAAGGTGACTCACTCACACGGCTGTTGGTGGAAAGATTCCGTTCCTCACTGGCTGTTGGCAGGAGGCCTCAGCTCCTTGCCGCATGGGCCTCTCCAGGGGACTGCCTGAGTCGCTTCATTACATAGGAGATGGCTTCCCTCAGAACAAAGGGTCTTGGGGTCGGGGTGGGGGGCAGAGAGGGAGAGAAAGAAAAGAATTTGCAATGTGTTTTGTGACCTAGGCTTAGAAGTGACATACTCTCGTTTCTTCTATATTCTTCTATTCCTTAGAAATGAGTCACTAAGTCCAGATCACATTCAATGGGAGAGGAATGAAGGGGGGAATATCAAATAGTTTGTAGACATATTTTAAAGCCACCACAAAAGATCTCTCAAGCTCATCAAGTCTTCTGGCTAGTAATGATAACAAAAACCACTCTTAATGATATAAAATGACTTGGGGCCAGGCGTGGTGGCTCACGCCTGTAATCCCAG